GAGCAGGGAGCCCGATGCGGGACTCGATCCAGGGACTCCGGGATCATGACCTGAGCCGAAGGCAGTCGCTTAACCAACTGAGCCACCCAGGCGCCCCAAGATATCCTACGTAATTTCTATTACCAGGTTGGATGGTGTCTCTGGGGACCAGCGCCATACTCACTGCCACTGGGCCCTGAGAGATGCTGGCCCGGGAGCCAGGGGCTAGGGGGCCACCAGCGATGGCCATGGCCACTGAGGGGTTGATGGTGCCTCCGATGTCCCCTTCCCCTTCTGTGTCTGAGTCGAGCATCGAGGCCAGTCTTGACCGTTGACCTGGGCCCTCTGGGGGCAGGGACAGGGGGACAGAAGAATGAGCCCTTGGTAAGTACCGTCTCTATCTCATAGTCTAGCTCAAAGTTCGCCTCCTCAGGGAAGCCTTCCCTGATACCGCTCCCCCAGGCCAGGGTGAGGTCTCCAGTTATCTATTCTCAGAGCTCACTTTTTGTGCTTATGATTAGATACATTTATCATACAATTGTCTGTACGATGACAAAAGCCTGAACTATATCTGCTTGAGCTGCTGCTATATGCTCAACACTCAGAATGTGGCCTGGCCCACAGGAGCCGTAAATGTTTACTACGATGATGATGATGATGATGATGATGATGATGGGAACAATGGCAGGAATAACAATAATAATAATTAGTAATAAATGCTGCTACAATGATTGTAGCATCAATTGGCACTTAGATAGAATCTCCTGTGTGCCAGGTGCCATTCTTAAGCACTTTGAAAATATTAACTCGTAATCTTCAAAACAACCCTATGAGATAAATGCTTTTACCCATCCCCATTTTATGGGTGAGGAAACTGAGGCACAGAGAGATTACATCACTTGCCTGGGGTCACACAGCAGGTAAATGGTAGAGATAGGATTTTTTTTTTTTTTCAAGATTTTATTTATTTATTTGACAGAGGCCAGCGAGAGAGGGAACACAGCAGGGGAAGTGGCAGAAGGAGAAGCAGGCTTCCCACGGAGCAGGGAGCCCGATGTGGGGCTCGATCCCAGGACCCTGGGATCATGACCTGTGCCGAAGACAGACGCCCAACGACTGAGCCACCCAGGTGCCCCTAGAGATCGGATTTTAACCTAAAGAGTCGGCTTCCAAACTCTATGGTCTTAAAAGAGTAACTCCCATAGCGCCCCCCACCAAGAAAAAAAAAAAAAAAAAAAAAGGTCTCGCCAGAGACAGGAGCTGCCAGCAAATACAGAACTGGTCTCACCCCAGAGATTCTTGAAACAAAGGGTCGACTGAGTTTAACTAAAGCTCCAGCTCAGCTTAACCTAGCTCAGTTCCTGACCAGATGGAGGAGACCAGCCCATTTTCCTTACTGCGTAAGGGAGGGAAAGAGGAACCGTCACTGGGAAAGGATGACATTACCCCAGTCCCAATGATTCGTTTACATACAGCATCCAAAATACCATAACAAGTTATAAGACATAGGAAGAGGCAGGAAAATGTAATTGATAGGAGAAAAACAGACAACAGAAGCAGGTACACAGATGACCAAATGTTGGAGTTAGCGAACAAGGACGTTAATATATAAACTGGCAGAAAAGATGGACAAACGTGGATAAAAAGATGGCACATTTCAGTAGAGAACTGGGATCTACAAAAACACACACACACAAAATCAAACAAACATTTTAGAGCCGCCAAGTATAACATCTGAAATTCGGAACTGGGGTTAACAGAAGACTGGACGCAGCCAGAGAAGACTGAAGCAGTGAGCTCCAGTGAATGGAAAGTTTCCCAACTGAAAACGGAATGGAAAACAGGACAGAGTACAGCAGGCACTGAGATGCGATCAAAAGGTCTAACGTACGTGTAATTGGAGTCCCAGAAGGAGGGAAGCGAGAAAATGAGGCAGAAAAAAAAAATTGCAAGAGGTAAAGACTGAGAATTTTCCCCAAATGACAAAGGGGATCTACCCAGAAAGCCTAAGTCTGTGCTTCCAACTGTCCCCTGTCCCCCAGGTGCCAGTGAAGGTTGAAGAGGAGTGACTGAATGAACACGGGGCTCTGACCATCCCCTCACCCCGATGTTCCCCACCTGCCCCTCCTCACCTATCGGGAGGGTGACAGTGTCCCAGTACGCTGCTCCCCAAATTTTCACATAAGCCTAGGAAAGTGCATGCAACCACTGTCCCCATGTAACAGGTGAGAAACCTTTAGGCTCAGAGAGGTTAATGGCTTGCCTGGGGCCCCACAGCAGCACACTGGAACCTCTTCTTCTGACCCCCACCACCCATGCTTTTGTTCCTAACCCTGCTCCCCACCTTCCCCGACCTGAGCCGGTGTGATCAGTGAAGCCCCTGGATCGTGTAGCCCCATCCTGCCCCCGGCCCACTGACCAGCAAAATCATGCAGGCGTGGCAGCGTGTCCCGTGCGAGAGACAGCAGCGGCAGGTACAGCTCGGCCACACGGGCCTTCACAGCAGCCTCAGCGTAGCGGGGGTCCGCATCGTGGCCACAGAGCAGACTGTGCACGGCGCTGATGGCCTTCTTGTGCAGCAGGAATGCCCTGTGGGGGGGCGGGTTAGCGAGGAGCTCGGGATGGAGCAGACATGGCTCCTGGACCTTTTCGCCAGCCCGGGGACCAGAGCGGCCCTGTACTCACCCCTCGGCCTCGGGCTCCAGGGCCAGCGCCAATTCTGTCAGCAGGAGCCCAGCCAGGAAGTGCTGTTGTCGGAACGGCCCACTCAGCTCGAACATGCTGGTTACCTTGGGGTCCGGGGCCTGGCTGGAGAAGGTGGAGCTCTGCAGAGGGCAGGTGGAGAAAGCAGGGATGGCAGGAGGCCAGGGGTCAAGGGTCGGGGGGGGAGACTGGCGTTAACCCATATGTGAGGTGACAGGGCCTGGAGTCAAAAGTCAGAAGTCAGAGAAACAGCAAATGGAACCCCAGGCGGGAATTAGGATTTGGGGTGAGATATAAGACGCTGGCCCCCACTCCAAGAAACTGCCAAGGGTGCGGGGTCAGAGGTGAAGGGTCAGACTACCTGGGCTTTGGCCCACTCTGAGATGGCCAAATGAGGGTCCCACAGAAGAGGGGGCTGAAGGTGAGTGGTCATAGGTCAAGAGGAGGAGCCAGGAGTGAGGCCAGCCCACCTGGGAAGTGGTGGAGGATACAGAGGGTGAGGGCGAGGCTGGGGGCGACAGGGGGCAGCAGGGGAGGTTGAGGGTCACGTAGTGCTCGTGGCTGCACAGGATGCGGGTGAAGTCCATGCGTAGGGTCAGCAGCAATGCCGGGTTGGGGGCCGACTGCAGCCGTGTGGCCACCTGTGGGGGAGGGGGTCAGCGGGCGACCTTCACGTGGCTCTGCCCACCACGCCCACCACCCTGCCACGTCACTGCAGATGTGCCGTTCCCACCGTGCCCACCCCTACCTGCTTGTAGTGGGCCCGCACCAGGCTGAAGATGAAGCCGCGGTCCACCAGGGACAGCAGATCGCTGAGGAAGAAGGCCAGGCTGGCGTTCAGGCGCTCGGCCAGCTCTGCATCCTAGGGGCACAGGGCCGGTCAGCCCATATCCACGTGTCCCATTGAGCCTCAGTCTCCACATGGGGCCTGGCTCTCACCAAGGCCACCAGTGACCTCCAAGAGCCGCGTCATTGCCCCAAAGCCTTGGGGCTTCTTGATACACCCTCATTTCTGAACTCCAGATACACCTGGCCTTCCTGGTTGTCCTCTTCCCTCTGTCCCTCCCCTTTCCCGTGGTTATATGTCTACACTCCTCAGGAGTCTGTTCAGAACACTGTTTTCTTTCATTAGATTTGACCAGTACAATATGGATGGCAGAAACTGGCTGCTGACCTCCCCCAAATCCTCTCCCCACTCAGAGTACTGGAACCCTTCTTCACAGTTCAGAGTTGGGCAAAGACTACATTTCCCAGCCTTCTTTGTGGCTGAGAATAACCATGTGACCACATCTTGGCCAATGGGGTTTGGGAAGAAGTGATGCCGTCCCTTATAGAGAAGGGGCAGGTCTGCCTGTTCCCACCACCTGCCACGCCTCATGTGGGGGGCACCATGATGAACCATGATGAACCACGATGGCCAGTCCCACACTGTGGAATCCCCTGCAACCCACCTAGGCTCAGAAATAAACTCTGGTCACATTTAAACCACTTGTAATGATGATCAAGCAAATTAACCTGTCTCTTAACTGATACGCTCTCAGCAACCATTTAACAAGACTATACTGAGCATCTACTACGTGCCACGTCCTGTGAATGGCACAGACATGGTCCCTGTGGCTTGTCCAATTCACAGTCTTGTGTGGGGGGAAGGCAGAGAATAAATAAAAGGACTGGGGATAGTTCCATGTATTTTGAAAAGAACTGAATGGGGTGCTGTTTTGAGAGAAACCCGAAAGATGGGAAAGAGCCAAGATGGGAAAGGCATCCTGAGCAGAGAGAACAGTAAGTGCAAAGGCCCTGGGGCAGGATGTGCCTAGCAACCGTGAGGAACAGCAAGAAGGCTGCTATGGCTTCCGAGGCCTAGCTGATGCTTGTTCTGCTCTCATGCTACCATAAGCCACAGAGTGGTTAGCCTCAGTGGCCCTCAGTTCCCTGCAACCCAAAGAAACAAGATATAAAACCTGCCTTAGCTCTGAGTCCTGAGGGGAGCAGAGACTGGGTCTTCCTTGTACAACTGAGCCTGGTAGTCAGTGCACGATAAATGTCAAGTGAAGCAACGAAACCACTGTGGCCCATCACCAATGCCTCACTGGCAGCTGTGATGATGCTGCTTCTTGGGGGCGTTGTTCCTCCCTTCAGCCCATTCTGAGTGTGGTTTCCTCACAATCCGGCTCAGCCCCTGGGAATATCAGCCCTTGGGGAGGCTCCAGTGGAACAAGGTCGAGAACTTTGAGCCCAGCCCAGAGGTCATGGGATATTGCACAAGGGCTGACTTGGGTTGGGCCGGCATTTCAAAAATCTGGAAAGTTCCTATCAAATCCCAAACTCCCATTTCTCCTGAAAAATCAGGCATTCTGGCCACAGCCAATGGGTACATGCCCCTGAGTCCACCCTAAGCCCCACTCTTCCCAGGTGGTAAGGCTGTGGGCTCTAGAGCTGGTAGCTTGGGTTCAAATCCCCATTCTGCCCCTTCTCAGTTGTGTGGTATCACGTTGTTACCTGGTCATTCTCTGCCTCAGTTTCCCCACCAGTAAAATGGAGACAACTTCATGGGGGTGGTTGGGAGAATTTAATGATATGATCCATCTACCACATTTAAGACACACAGTAAGTACTCAATAAATGCTCAATATTATTACTACTCTCATTATTATTACTGCCTGCCTAGCTCCTGGGAACGCTGGAATTAGTGATCCAGGACCTGGACAATCAATGATCAAGGCCTCAGAACATCAATGTCCATTTATTGAGCACTTACTGTATTTGGCACTGTGCTAAGCGCTAATGGATCTGCTCTGTCCACCTCCCCATCCTCATCAACTCCCATTCCCACTTTTGCTCACTCCACTCCAGCCACACTTACCTCCTAACTGCTCCTCTAACAACCCAGGCATGGTCCTACCTCAGGGCCTTTGCACTTGCTGCTCCCACTGCCTGGAAGGCCCTTCCCCCAGCCATGGCATAGAGTGCTCTCCCCCCCGCGCCTTCAAGTCTCCTCAAAAAGTCAGCTCCGTGAAAACATGGATTTGGGCCTCTTTTGTTCACTGCTGTGTCTACCATCCGGCACAGCCACTGTGCACGCAGTCAGTGCTCAAGAAATAGATGCTGAGTGAACCGACTGATCTGGCAAGCGGGTTCATGGTGCCCCTGCCTGGCTGGCTCTATGTCCTCTCTCAGACCCTCCCATCGAGGCCTGTTCCCGCACACCTTGTATAGCCGGGTGATGACTTCCAGGCCCACAGAGCCCACGAGGGCCGCGATGTCGTCCAGGAAACGCCCAGGGAAGCGGAGCTTGCGGGGCGTATCCAACCGTTGGCCCAGAAGCAGGTGGAGCGCCATGCTTTTCACCTGGGGGTGGGGTGAGAGTGGAGCGGGGCTTGAGGAACTGAACAGGGGGGCCCACCAGAAGGGGGCAGGCCCTGAGGGGCTGTGAGCGGTGTTTTAGTAGCAAGGCACGGGGGCTAGAGGTGGGCATAAGGGGTCCTGGGTGGGGATTGAGCCCTGACTCTTTTTTTTTTTTTTTTTAAAGATCTTATTTATTTATTTGAGAGAGAGAGAGAA